CGACCGATATATCGGCCGATATTTGGCATTTTTCAAATATCGGCATCGGCCGATAAGTTTTTCTGTTTGGCCGATGTGTTCAAAACGGGACTTTTATTTTGATGGTGCGGCAGACTTTTATTTTGACAGCGCCTGAGCGCACACCGCTCACATTCTCCCTCTTGTTCGCTGTCGTCATTCAGTTCTGTCTAATATGGATGTAAGTCTATCTAATAATCATATAGAACTGTTAAACAAATTAATTATAATGTATACAAAAAAGATTTAACAATTGCTTTAATATTATTAGTAATAGAAAGGCAAACATTATAATACTTTCTCATTTGCCGTCAGCATTTATATCATTTAAACAAATCTTTAAATGACTAATGGACATTTAATTTCACAAACCTTGCAGACTTAGTCGAATCTAGTTGAGATCTTGTGAAGTGTGCATTTGTATCCTGCATGATTGCGTGTTGTTCTCTGGGTGACGGTCACTCCGTGCAAATTGAATGCTGACAGGAGGAGAGTTCAGCTTCACTGGAGACGCGCGATCGACAAATTTTAAACTAGTGAAAATTTGACTAAAGTCAAATTATGCTGTGCTTTTTGCAGTTGCCCACTGTCATATTCATGTCATTTCATTGCGTGCTGTATGTAAAATGAGTGTTACCTTGGCTTTATTTATAAAAAAAATGTAAAATGATTCACACAAACTTCCCAGAATACTGAGTGCCCTGTTGGTTACCATGTTTACTTCCTTTTTAATTAGATTTTTATTAAATATTTATTTATTTGTGAAAAATGCTTTGTCTTCTAAAGTATAAGTATATTTATTTTACACAATTATTTTAATCCATTTTCAAATTATTTCAAATTTTTAAAATATAAATGAAAATAAATACAATTAAATCGGCTTTATATCGGCCACCCTGCTTTCCAAGATATCGGCATCGACATCGGCTGTAAAAAAACCCATATCGGTCGACCACTACTTCTAAAGCTATCTCTGGCTGTGGCAAGAGCTAATCAGTTAACCTGATTAAGGAACTGATGATATTCAATAATTTCTGTAAGTGAAAATAATAAAATAGCCAATACATGGGAGGATCCGTCTGTGGAATTTGATGCCGCCCCTGAGACTTTTATCAGCAGGAAAGTGTTTGCTGGAGAGCCATTTTTAAAAAGGCACGCTTATCAAAGAATGCTTTGTGTAATTATGAAATGTGTCTCTGGTTGATAAAGCTGTTAACAAGAATGCCACAGTCCCGGCAGAAGGCAGCAGTTGTGTGTATATTACCTATTTATTTTGATGTACAAGCAGCAATGGCCATTTTACTTTTAATCTGTGATATGAAATATTATACCTGCACGGGTAATGAGCTTCAGAGATCATCATAAATCAGCTAGAACTTGTTTGCTTATGGACACCCAGTTGCGAATGCTAGGTATCATACAAACCCAGCCTTAGTACATAGTAATTGGTCTTTTATTTGTCACAACGGTTGTATTCTAAGAGAAAGACCAGCAGCTGTATATATATTGCATATTTATTTTGGTGTACAGGCTGTGATAGTCATTTTACTTTTAATCTGCACAGATAATGAGCTTCAGAGATCATCATAAATCAATCTAAACTCATTTGCTTATTACCATGGATGCACGTCTGCAAATCCAACTGACCGCTCAGGTTAAGAGGCTTTGCACCTGTCACTTGCGTAATGCCATTAAATCACAAGCTACAATTAAACACAATTACAGATAATAACAGCGGGCGTAAAAGCCCATGTCAAACCTAACGGATTGAAGGTTTGCGGGGTTTGGGGACGACTTCAGTGCCCTGTTGAATCTGTGAAAGCGCAGATGTTGGCTAAAGTGGCCGGCGCACTCAGTCCGCTATGCTGATCATCATAACAGCATCATTATCATTGCGGCTTAACAGCCTCTTAGTCAGGCCAGGGCCGCCCTCATATAAACCCAGCATGAAGCCTGTAATTGCATTCCAGTTCTTATTTTAAGGAATTATGGGGTAGAATTAGCCCTCTGCAAAGTGCAGAACAAAAAAGACCTCAGCTACTATCGAGCACTTGAAATGCATGGGGGAAAGCTGCGTTTTTGTCTAATGGGCATCTGTTTGAAAGCCTTTCAATTGTTGTTTGGGGTACAGCATGAAAGGCTAGTGCTAGAGAGGTATAGCGAGAACCTCAGACCTCAAGCCTAATTGTAAATTGACTGGTTGTGACTATATCAAAAAGCTGTTGTGGAGAGAATAGCCATCTAATCATGTGATCACATTGGTGGGGAATGCTGGAATTATAACTCCAGGGCTTTTTCACCATGAATACAAGCCAGGCAGGACAGGGCTAAGGGCTCTTGGTGGGGATATGCCTGATTTCCTTCGTATTTTACCAGAGCAACTGACCCTGAACCAATTTGTGTGTTGAAAGAGTACATCTGCAAGGCAAATTCTATTTCTAGCCCTTCTCCATTACTATTACAGGACATCTTTACTTTGGAGTGCTTGCGGTGAGCCTCTCCTAGTGGATGATTCCAGGTCAGTTGTTGCATCCTGGTGACAATATAGACACTCTTTTCATTTGCATTCGTATGCCCGCAGTTGTTACCACCATATATAAGCAGTGTTACACTGGTTTTATTTTCAGCTCCTGTCTCGACCTCTTTCACCGACACTGTAATAGAATTAGCATTTCTTTGACATCTCTATCAGTGAAACTGTTCGCTGCTCTCACTCGCCCACCACCAGTCCAAACTCCCCAGCACTTGCCGCCTTTAATTAATCTCAAATCATACTACTCGTCTTGTGTTAAAGGCTTAATTTGTGTGCTTTGCAGAAATCCTATTCTGGTGTCATGGCGTGGATAATCCTGCCATGGATCACAGTTACAGTAAACACAGAATGTTGCTCTCCAAAACGCTGATTTTGTAAGGACAAGTACATGTGTGCTATCCTTTCCCCCAAGCTGGAACTTTTAAGCATCCCATCTCTGCTGGTTAATAATCGATAGGCAGCCATAATGCTTCCCCAGCCAACACTGAATAATTGAACATGGAAATTAAAGGTCACTGCACAAAACATTGGCTCAAATCCTTTCTTTTGGTGTCAAGGCCTGTGTAAAAACAACAGTTTCCGGTACTAGATGCACTTCTTGCGTTTCTTGTAATGTCATGAGCCTTGGCACACCTTTGTATCTCTCAGAGGGTTCGAAGGATGTGACCTTCACACTTAGAGCCTGACCTGTGCCCATTGGCACAGTCAGTCTACAGTGTCTGCTTTTCTCTGCCAGCATGTGAGTCACATCAGGTCAAAGAAGTGAGAGGTTTTCCCTCCGCCTTATCCATCCTTGTCTTTACAACAGATCCATTGAAGAGCATGAAGGCTTGTGTTGGCCTACAACAGCAGGCATCAGCCACACTGGATTCTGTTGAAGAGCAAGAGGGCTGAATTGTCAAAATCTATTGTGTGTTTGTGTGTCAGCTGTCTCTTCGAATTGGCCGTAAACAACTATGGAGGAACCGGGGTGAAATGTCACCAGTGCTTGCCCCGATTAAATGGCTCTGTCGCTAGTGATGTAGACTCGGATCTGTAAGACTCGAATGATATGTATGACGGTTTGAGCAACAGCTCAGTGTGCGCTTTGCTATGATAATGTTTGATTATCCCTCAGCAAGTCCCCTTGAGGGTCCCTGAAGGGAAACAGGTCCTAGCCAAACTTGACTTGGCTACTTGTTCATTCCAGGCCAAGTTGGTTCGTCCAGAAACTTGCTTCTAAGCAACTTTTGAGTAGGTTATTAGCATCTGAATATCCACTGCTCGCCTTTAAACTTCTATATGTTCACCCCAACATAGTGCCTACTCGTTTATTCCAGGCCAAGTTAGTTATTCCAGAAACTTGCTTCGTAGTAACTTTCGAGTAGGTTATTGCCATCTAAATATCCACTGCTTGTCTTTATATCAGGGGTCTCCCAACATAGTCCTGTAGAGTTTAGCACCAGCCCTAATTAAAAACACCCGAACCGGCTAATCAAGGTCTTACCTGGGCATTCTAGAAACTTCCAAGCAGGTGTGTTGAGGCAAGTTGGAGCTAAACTCGGCAGGACACTGGCCCTCCAGGACTGAGTTTGGAAATGCCTTGGTTCTTCCAGAAACTTAGCTTAGTAGAAACTTTCAAGTAGGTTATCAACATCTGAATGTTCACTGCTCGTCTTTAAACTTCTCTAAAGGTGCTTTTGCACCGGAGGAACCTTTCCATAGTTATTTTTGGCCTGTTCGTACCACAGGAACTAGGAACATATTTAGTTCTAGGAACTTCGTTTAGGGGAACTAAATTAGCTCCTACTTCAGAGTAGGGTCTAAAACAATTCTATAGGAACTACCAGTGACGTAAGTGTATGCTGATTGGCCAAACACATACAAAACACCGGCTACCCTGCATTTTTAAAAAGCCGTGTAAAAATATTTACTACACAAACATGAAAAACAGCGATAATAGCAGCATGTCTGCAGCGTTGTGTTCTTTTCTCAGCCTCAATGATAACATTGCAAATTGCCATAGGAGATTTTGTCAGATTTTCGTGCTCTTTCAATTGTGTAAACTGTGCATTTACATAACATCTCCATTGTCATGAAACCCACGGCACACAACAAAAACAGCTCCAAACATGGCGTCCTCCATTCACGGGTTTTTGACGTTTGTTAAAGCCGTGAATAAAGACATCGCTGTCAGCTGCTTCAGAGTTCCTACTGCTGGTGCGAATGCAACCAGGAAAATGTCCCAAGGAAGAAATTGGCTCTCTAGGAATGACCCTGCTGGCTAGTTCTTAGAACTGAGTTCCTAGAACTACGCTTAAGTTAAGTTCTCCCCTACAGAGGCCCTACTAGCTTATTCTAGGCCAAGTTTGTTTTTCCAGAAACTTGCTTAGTAGGAACTTTTGAGTACATAACTGGTACCTAATGGTCCACTGCTTGTCTCTAAACTTTGCTATGTTGTCTCCTACAGAGGACCTACTTCCTGCTGGCTTCCCCAACATCGACATGGGCCCACAGCTGAAGGTGGTGGAGCGCACGCGCACGGCTACCATGCTTTGTGCCGCGAGCGGTAACCCTGACCCGGAAATCACCTGGTTCAAAGACTTCCTTCCCATCGACCCCAGCACAAGTAACGGACGAATAAAACAGCTCAGATCGGGTAAGACGAAGGGATGCACTTTAAGCCCTACTGCTAATGTTCTTCTGCTTCTGTATCAGTGATTGTAGGTACCCTGCTCTCTTCCAAAACAACCACCCACAGAGTTAGCGCTGTAAGTTGCTCGGGAAGCTGAAATGGAAAGATAATGACTTTTAATGAACTGTGTTAGAGGAGCTTAGTCCAGATTTTGTGGCAAGTGTATGATTAATGTCTGGTTTAGGCTAATGAAACTTTATTGAAAGAGCCAGTAAAACAGTCTAATTATATATCTCATTAAGTCTAGCGCTCCAGTCGCCCCAAGGCCACCGTTGTGGGTCAGTGATTCCTCAGCAACAGAGAAAAGAAAAATCTATCGGGTTGCATTTGTTTCGGAGCTGTTGACGTAAATCAGTATGGGCAGCAGATACTCGGCTGGCAACCCTTGACCTGAAATCGCTTACCCAGAGTTTCCCTTTTCACGATCCATCATGGCATTTTCAAAATAAAGTTTCAGATTCAAGCAAAGTGGTTTGGCGGTGAGCGGCTACATCTGCTCTCGCTTATGCTAGACTTGAGTGCTTTGTTTTGTGCCATGTTAATGGACGACCCAGACTCGCAGAGGGGGTATCACAGGCCTCTGTGACGTCGTTGGCAATGGTACAGGAACACGAATGCCTTTGACTTCTCTAGTTGAGGACAAGAAGCCAGATTACTGTGCAGCGTGTTGGGCCTTACCCAAACAGTCAGTCCTTTTAGCTTCCATTATGCGATGTCACTAGCCGCAAGGTTAGCGTTTATAGCTCATTTAGCAAGCTAATTTCTCTGCCCTGCTGACAGACGTACAGATTAATCAGACAAATTTAAGGGACTTCGGGAATGTTTATTTCTGAAAATGCTCATGCTAGCCTACAGTTTGATGAAGCAGCGCTAAAAGTTTAGCGACCTGTCCTCCCTCTGTCTGTGTTTTTGTCACAGTGTGAGTGGGTCATACATGTTGTTGCTGTGCCTCGCTCTCCGTTGTCTTGTTTGTGACGTCTCTGTTTCAACTAAAGCAGGTTTCTAGCATTCACATGCACAACATTGACTAGCCCTCGATAATTAACGTACTACTAATTATACAAACTAAATTCAGTATACACAGCATACAGCGTGTACAAATGAGCTATAATCATGATCTTAATTCAATTTGTGTGTTAGTGAGTTATCTAAATGCTTTTAGGAGTATTTGTTTGGTGCGTCTAATTGGTAATTAAATATGCCAACGTTTTCTAAATCTCTCAAGATGTTAATGAATTTCTTAAGGCATTAATTGTTTTACCAAGGGCAATTAGTTTGACTGTTTTCACACACTATATATAAAACATAACCCTGATTCTAACTATACATAACATATTAGTTTTAATCAATGTGATAAAACAAATTTTCAAACTCTATAACTCACAAAGCTTGTCAAGAACATGTTCAGGTATTTCACTACAGAGAAGCAAATTAAAATAAGAGATATGTCTTAAATTATAGGACTTATTACTTGTTTATAAATGTAATATTATTAAGTATTTATTTATGATGGAAGTTTATATTTATTGTACTTGCACTGATCTTTAATTTCTGCTTCTTTCAAGTAAATATTTTATTTGTAATTATTTAAACTTAACCTTAACTTAAATTAATAAAATTGATCACTGTATAATTATGTAATTTACCGTTGTAAAATAATTATAAAATAAGTGTTCTTTTAAATGTATTAAAAATGTTATTATTATTATTATTATTTTACATTTAATATATATAAAATTTAGTGCTGTCAAACGGGTAATCGTGATTAATCGCATCCAAGATAAATGATTTGTTTACATAATATATGTGTGTGTGCTGTGTATATTTATTGTGAATATATAAATACACATGCATGTAAATATTTAAGAAAGATATGTTATGTTTATATATTAAATATATTTATATATATATAATATATATATTATATATATAAATATATTATATATATTTATATATATAATATATAAATTATATGAATATAAATATGTAAAGCATTTAAATATTTACAAAATATATACTGTTTGTGTGTGTATTTACAGTGGGTACGGAAAGTATTCAGACCCCCTTACATTTTTCACTCTTTGTTATATTGCAGCCATTTGCTAAAATCATTTAAGTTAAATTTTTTTCCTCATTAATGTACACACAGCACCCCATATTGACAGAAAAACACAGAATTGTTGACATTTTTGCAGATTTATTAAAAAAGAAAAACTGAAATATCACATGGTCCTAAGTATTCAGACCCTTTGCTGTGACACTCATATATTTAACTCAGGTGCTGTCCATTTCTTCTGATCATCCTGGAGATGGTTCTACACCTCAAAATAAATATACACAGTACATACACACATACTATGTAAACAAATATTTTATTCTGGATGCAATTAATCGCGATTACCCATTTGACAGCACTAATTAAATTATATATTAATAATATTATTAAAATATTATTTCAAGATAAGTTTAGATTTATTGTACTTGTGCTTATTTCAATTAAATATTTAATTTGTGCTATTTAAATAGATTTTTTAAAATCATATACAGTAAATGAAACTATTATAATTGAGAATAATTAAACACAGACAGGTTGGTGCTTAACTCCCTCCTTATTCGAATTGTGTTTTTATTTCAATTAGATGTTGGCAAATGTAGAAACCTGGAAATGTTCTCGACCAGTTTTGTGAGATTCCCTCACGATCTAGTCTCTAATATCATTAAACGTGCTCATAAAACGGCTTAAAATCCGTGTGTAACATGTCGTCCTGCAAAGGGGTCTTCCGCACTAAACTCTCTTGATTTCAGGGTGCGCGACTGCTGTGAACCCGACCCTAAAATGTGCTGTTTTGTTCTTCCTTTCTGCTTCTTTTTCTGTGCGTTATCATTTCCAGAAGCGATTGGTAAGTGTCTCAGCGAGCGCGCAAGCTTCCTCGTGTCCCTGAAGCAGATGCCATTTTAACTTGGTTTTAAAATGCATGTCCTCCCCTCTCCTTTCCCTTGAACGACTGTCTGTACCCTCCGTATTTCTTTCTCTTCTCCTCGCCCACTAACATGAAACGATTCCCTGTTTCTCTCGAGCTTTAGAGGATGACACACTGCAGAAAGTGTGTGTGTGTGTGTGGATTTACTAGTGTTCTCCGTTCACATGCAGCTCTCCAGAGAATCCACAAATATTCAGATGCTTATAAAACAGAAGAAGAACAGATTAGGGTTTCAGAAGCTCCAGCCAGGCGTTTGCGGTTGTGCCGCTGACCAACCGGACTCACCCTCGCTCGGCTCCGTTACAATCACGTATCTGTCATCTGAGCAGGAGCCGCCGGGGCCTTGGAGCCTCATGGCCCATCTTGAGATACTCCGAGAAAACACACATCCTCCTTACTGCATGTGCTCGACAGGTGAAGTCAACATGAAACGCCTTCAGAAGACAGTTTACTTCTGTAATGTAGGGCAGCGGTCGCTTTTGTTCATCAGGAATCCATTAGATTGTGAAAAGGGTTCACTTCCAGACCAAAAATTGACAGATAATGTACTCACCCCCTTGTCATCCAAGATGTTCATGTCTTTTTTTCTTCAGTCGTAAAGAAATTGTTTTTTGAGGAATTTCTCTCCATATAGTGGACTTCTATGGTGCCCCCGAGTTTGAACTTCCAAAATGCAGTTTCAATGCAGCTTCAAAGCGTTCTAAACGATCCCAGCTGAGGAAGAAGGGTCTTATCTAGCGAAATGATCGGTCATTTTCTAAAAGAAATTACAATTTATATACTTTTTAAGCTCAAACGCTCGTCTTGTCTAGTTCTGCTTGAACCCTGTGCATTCCGGTTCATGACAGTTAGGGTAGATCGAAAAACTCCCATCTCATTTTCTCCTCCAACTTCAAAATCATTCTAAATCATCCTATATCGCTGTTTTACCAGTTTTTGTAAAGGCCGTTTGACCTTCTTTGCACGTTCACTTTGTAAACACTGGGTTGGTACTTCTGCAGCGATGTAGGACGATTTTGGAATTGGAGGAGAAAATAAGATGGGAGTTTTTTGACCTACCCTAACTGTTTCGAACGGGACTGCACAGAGTACGCATGCGCATTGCAGAGCTACACAAGACGAGCGTTTGAGGTTAAAAAGTATATACATTGTAAATTTTTTTTAGAAAATGACAGATCGTTTCGCTAGATAAGAGCCTTCTTTCTCGGCTGGGATCGTTTAGAACGCTTTGAAGCTGCATTGAAACTGCATTTTGGAAGTTCAAACTCGCGGGCACCATAGAAGTCCACTATATGGAGAGAAATCCTCAAAAAACAATTTCTTTACGACTGAAAAAGAAAGACGTGAAGATCTTGGATGACAAGGGGGTGAGTACATTATCTGTCCATTTTTGTTCTGGAAGTGAACAACTCCTTTAATTATAAGGCTATAATCTGTTTATGTAAAAAATTATGTAACTATTCTTTTAAATGTATTAAATACATAATGATAATAATAATTATTATTATTGTTCAAATATAAATATATATGGAATATATTTAAAATAATAGTTGGATAATTTTTACATAAACAGATTTTATTACATAAATATTTGAACAACAACAACAATAATAAGTATTATTTAATATATTTAAAAGAATAGTTGTTATTATTTTGTTAATAGATTTTAATAATATTATTAAAATATAATTTTAAGGAAAGTGCATGAGTGTGTTAGAGGTAATATGTGGGAATATTTTTGCTAATTAATATTATTTTAATAATTGTGAAATAATTATTTATGTATAATCCCATATTATTTTGCTTATTATTGTTACAGTAAACACATTGTAGAGGCTTTTACATGTTTAAATGTAACATATATTTAATTACACATTTAAGGCAATAATTTGAATGATAATAATAACAATATTATTATTATTATGTTGTGTAATTATATTTTAGCACTATTAAAATATATTCTTTTAAGTATATTAAAGTATATGTGTGTTAGATATATTTGTCTAAATATTTCTGCCAATTATTATTATTTATAATGTAATATTATTTTGCTAATTAATATCAGCGTAAAACGCTATAGATGCTTTTACATATTTAAATGTAATATGTATCAAAATATATATTAACAATATTTTGAAATATTTGAACCTATATATATATATATATTCAAATATTTATTTTATATGTATTAAGTATAATTTCTATTAGTTTTACGTATGTTTTATATTATTTGTATATAACATCGATTTATTGAACTATTTTTCTGGCCTCATGTGTTTATTATTAGCATTATCCTGTAGCCTTTATGAGCTTGGGGTCTGTTAGCTGCTTTTAATAGGGTTTTGGACGTGCAGCTTAGACTAGTTGAAGTGTGTTTTTGTGCATCGAGGAGGTAAAAGCATTGACGGGAGGGATTTACGCTGATGAGAAAAAGGCCTGTAGCTGAACCTCCTGCGTTCCGAAGAGAAACTGATCCAAACCAGGGGCCCGGAGCCATGTTTCTTGAGAAGAAAACAAGATCTGGCATTCTTTTGAATAAGCCAAATGTCTCTGTCCTGATGCATGGATCCGGTCCCGCTGTAGGTCAAAAAATGAAAAACAGCTTCAAATGATTTGATTTAAAAGATCAAATAATATTACAATATATATATAAAAAATTCTAAACATTTTTTATATACATACATTTAATAAATGTGTATGTTTTATATTATATTCGGATATCTAGTTAATAAAATTAACAATTATTTGTTTAATTGAATTTCTAATTGGATTTTATAAATATTAAATATTTGATTTCAATGTTATAATAAATTATCATTTAATTTATCATAAGAAAATATGATTATTAAATTGTTTAATATTAACTGATATTAATATAAATGGTTTATTTATTCATATATTGTTAATATTAATCAGTAGTTATATATTGTAAGTATAGATATAAATGTGAATATTTCCTTCCTATAATAATGATGAACACATTTATGTTAATTTCATTTTTATTTATGGGACAATAAAAATATTTCAATTAAGTAACTATATATCGAAGCATGTATTTGTCAATTTTTTTTTAATTCGAATATTTTTTATAATTTTACAATGTTTTGTATAAATGTATATATTAAAATAATTGTGTATTACGTATTTTAGTGCTATTATTAATTTCTATTAATATTTTATATTTTTTCATTAATATCATTAATTATATGTTCTAAATACAGACATAAATTTGAATATTTAATTTATTATAATAATTACTAAGACACTTATATAAGTATATTATTGATATTATTTTATTTAATAAAAATGAGCCGACTTTGATTTTTGACACTGCTTCGCTTGTCGTTCACGCCCGCGGTAGATGGAGCGATCATTTTAATATTTGTTTACACATTATTGTAATGATATTATGAGAGATGAGACTGTTGTTTCAATCTCTGCTTGTGTTTTTATTATTACTCTAAAGCGTTTTAATGCACATATAGACAGTGGCATCTCGACGAGGCGCGGGGCGCGCCAATGGATGGAGACCCGCGGCGACCTCCTAATAAACCGCGACAGTCTGGGAGCTTCTTTCAGCAGTCTCCACTCAATTTGTGTGTTTGCGAACCTCTAACCTTTGACCTTTAACCTTTAACCTCACCTAACCAGTTCTTTCCGAAGCTAACCGTGACTTTAAACCAGCTAGTTCTGCTGCCCTGATACTAACGCTCCCCGATCCCTCCTCAACTCCTAAAATACACATAAACTCCTCTAAAGCAGGAATATTTTGCCTGCTTGTGGAAAGCCCGTCGACTGCAGCAGCTTCGCTCTTTCCTCGGAGGACGTCAGTATAAATACTAGATCAATGCTCTTACTGACACTCGCTCAAGGCACAGTGTTAGTCCAAGCATTGCTTTAATTCCATTTTAAAAAATGTCTTTACTGTACAGCTTAGCCAAATGAAATTCAAGCAATAAAATAAAACACATAAATATTTGTAAATATTGATATAGCAATTATATTGATAGCGATTATATGCCATAAGAATGAATTGATTTTAATTATTTTAAGTATCAGTTATATTAAATAATGAATTAATGGTATATCATTTACGCAGTTTATTAATATTATTATCAGAATTGCAAACTAAGTTAAGAAATAAAAAAATACATCTAAAACAATATTAAAACCGTATCATATTTTATTTCAAACAAATTATTTTATTATAGCATTTATGAAAAAAGTATTATTATTATTATTATTATTATTATTATTATTATATATTGTTGATTTGTAGATAATATAATATAGTCATTAATATGAAAACTACATGAAAACTTTTATTGTATTTTGTTCATCAAGGCACAGTTATTCCAGTAATTATTTTAATTCCATGTAAATTATTTTTATTTACTGGAAAGCCTAGCAAAATTAAATTCAAATAATAAACTAAACATAAAACAATAAATATGCATACATATGAATTATAATAGCAATTATATGAATTAGTTTTATGCTATATGAATTAATTATTGATTTTAATTATTTTAAGGATAATTTATATTAATGAATGAATGAATGAATTATTAGTATATAATTTATTCAGCATTAATATTATTATTAAAATTGCAAGTTACGTTAAGAAATGAAAAAATGCAACTAAAACCATATTAAAAACGTATCATTTTATTTAAAACGAATTATTTTATTATGGTATTTATGAACAAATTATTATATATTGTTGATACTACAATTTTTATTGTGTTTTGTTCATCAAGGCGCAGAATTATTCTAAAAATATTTAAATTCTATTTCAATTAATTTGACATAATTTATATTATTATTTCATAGATTTTTAATGTGCCATTTATGAAGAGTAATTGAGCAGTATTATTTTTCTTTGATGTACATTCTAGCAAAATAATAAAGTAAAAATAAAACATTACAATTAATAATGTGCTATATTAATTAATAATTGGTTTATTATTTTAATCATGTTTATATCAATACATTTTTAGTACACCATATGTATAATTTTATATTTAATTTTAAGATATTATAAATTAGTTAGGATTTATGTAATCCAGTATTATTATTATTATTATAGAAATTGCGAAATAAACTTACAAATACAAATAAAGGAATGTATCAAATTCAAATGTAATTTTATTATAGGATTTCTGAAAAAATAATTCTAGATTTGTATGATTGTTGTTATTATATGTGCTGTATTGCTGTTTGGAGGGTCATTATTATAAACTAAAGTAAATAGTAGAAGCTCTGTTGGTTGAGGCAGGCCTGCTGTAAACGTGCGCTTGAGGAGTTGAGATGAAGCAGGCAAAATATCCTTCCCGCTCAGCGACGACCTTCATGCTGCTGCTGGACAAAGAGCTCCGCGAGAGACACGCTTACTTACCAAGAGTGCTCTAATATATTCACTACATTCAGTCGTCTAGCACTTCAAGCTAACCATTACTGGATATCGCAGTGGTTTTTTCTTGTTAAATAAAATGTAACATTGTTTCAAAATGTCATATATAAATTCATTTCTTTTAATTAAAGTTGACATAATATAAAATATAAAAATGTTATATTTAGTTATTATTATAAAGTCATTCATTTCATTGTGTATTTTTATATTATACTGTTTATATAATTGTATATTATTTTTACAATGATTATTAATTTATAGATTTTTATATGTAGTTTATGAAGGAAAAAAAACATTTATTATTATACAAATAGTATTTTTCTTTGCTGTGCAGCCTAGCAAAAATAAAAAAAATGTTTAAAATTCTAATAATAAAATAAATAAAACTAAAATATATATATATTTAATAGTGTTATTTTATTATATAATAATATAAACTTTTTATATAAACTATAATACTTATTATGTTTTACATTTATTTATATTAATGTTTATAATGTATCAATTTATTATATTTATAAATTATTAACTGCTTTTAAATATTTATAAATAAATTATAATTATTATTATAAAAGTATAATTGTATATTCTTTTTACAATGAATATTATTAATTTATAGATTTGTATATATAGTTTATGAAGGAAAAAAAACATTTATTATTATACAAATAGTATTTTTCTTTGCTGTGCAGCCTAGCAAAAATTTAAAAAATATCAATTTATTCTATTTATAAATTATTAATTGCTTTTAAATATTTATAAATAAATTATTATTATTATTATAAAATTCTAACTATTGTCAACTACCTCATTTAAGAACACAAATTAATTAATTGATTAAATAAAATGATTTTCTTTAGCGTCATTAACCTTCATATTATCTTTTTATACTTATATTATTTTTTTTAATGATTTATATTAATATTTATAATGTATCAATTTATTATATTTATAAATAATGAACTGCTTTTAAATATTTATAAAGAAATTATTATTATTATTATTATTAAATTCTAAATATCGTCAGCTACTTAATTTTTGAAATAAATAAATACAATTCTCTTCTTTAGCGTTTAGCATGATCAGGTTGTCTGTAAGCGTTTAGGAAGTGTAAATAGGAGAAGAAAGATGAAGCTCCACGTCCAGCACTGGAAGGTCTTTAACCTCTACTAAATCTGTGGTGATGATGAGGATCTCATAACTAAACTAACCAGTACATGAGGAGACTCATAACCTGGCCTGACATTAACCGTCAACTAAACTGATGTGTGTTTCGTTTTGTGTCTTTTTCCAGAGAGTACTCCCATCCGAGGTAAGACATCACTATAAACACAACTAACCTTAAGCTAACCGCTAACTAATGACTCCAGAGCAGCTCAGAGGGGACCGGCTCTTCTCCTTCTCTTCTTCCAGCCTTCATTCTGTGTCCGTGCGTGTGTGTGTGTGTGTGTGTGTGTGTGTGTGTTTGTGTCTGTGTGTGTGTTTAATGTCAGTGTTGGGAGTCAGACAGGTGTCGGGTTGCTGTTTACCTTCGTCTGTGACATTTGCGCTCGGCCGCGCGGTTCACGCTAATGACGACGCTGCTTTCCTCTCAGTCCTGCTCTCATCTCCAGAGCCAACGCTAACGTTACACAGACGATAGCAATAGTTCAGCTACACTTTGCAGCTCAGATGTGCAGTTTGGAGGTGATATCAGGACTGATGTTCTACTGATCTAGATCCGTGTTCATCTCATTATATCTGAAGACTATCTGATGTTTCTAACTTCAATAAAGTGCCTCTTTTTTCACAGCGAGCAGGTAGGTACACATCATACATTTGATTTTACATTAATATTGTGGGTGAACAAAGGGTTAACAGCTACACTTCAAATCTTAATGATCTCAAAAACACTGCTTTGAATTTTGTATGGTCTTTTTCTTTGTTCAGATGTTGGTCAATTTTGTATGTTTACTGGTGCCTGCATTGATTGAGATTGTTCACGTTCACCTTAAATAGTTGATTTAGTTAGCAATATCATAAACATTGCGATATGGGTCATGATTCAATATGCATTACAGTATAATCATTGGATCGCAAGTGAACGTAATTATATATATATAT